CGTCAAAACATATTCCATTACATTTATAAACTAATCTTCAAATCCCCATGTAAGCTTCGCCCCACCTGCATTTTGCAAATAGTCCACCAATGGTTTCCATTCCTTAAGGTAATAATTTGATTTTTCTTTTAATAAGTCAGTTTATCATTTTCTGCCATTCTCCCTACTCACTTTAACTCTTTTCATGGGAGCAAATACTGCCATGTGGATTTCAAGAAACGAGCCTCCAGATCACATGCTTCTATGTTGCCCTCTCTATGTAGTTCCATGTTCTGATTTAATAATGCATCATTAATTTAATACAGCTGATAGAACAAGAGGATTATATCTATCTCATGTTATCAGAACACTCAGAGAAGTAAGACAGTTGCGAAATTCTTATTTACCACCAATTTTTTTAAAAAAACATAGAAATCTGAATTTGAAATAAATGATAGTGTTATACATAGGTGAAAGATTATTTGTTATGAAATGGATTTTCAGAGCTGTGAGATAATGTAAAATATAGGTTTAGAAAGTGTGTACATAATTTGTATTTAAAGCTAAATATAATAAACTATTGAAAGCAGCATGACATCCTTGCTTTTAGATTGGATCATAACACTGACTCCCCATATATTTAGAACCCCTAACCATATGATTGTGTCTCCGAAGTAAATATATGGAACGTACCAAGGGAGAATGGGTATGCCTTATAGCTGTGCAAATCCTTTGAAAAGGTATTTTGGAATGCACCAAAAGAGAGAGAGAGAGCACCTATTTTTGAATCCACAAAGCAGCTCTTCCTTTTTTCTGGTTAGTACAAAAGCTCTGGAAGATGTTCCTGGCAGTCGTCTTTCTTGTCTAACCAACAACGGTAATCTCAACCTAGATACAATACATAACCATGTTTTCTTGCATATCCAAATGGCTGGTTCACACACATGTGAAACCATAGTTGATTTTATTAACTGAGCTTGCAGGACACACTAATTCATGAATTAATTAAGCTTTACTGATTTAACCCAGTTATCTGGGCTCACATCACATATTCAATCAAAGTAATCACACTGGCTAGATTTATACAGGACATTGTAGTAAACACTAGCCAACCATATTTTTGTCCAGCTCATTTTGTAGTCCAATCAATTATGGCTTATTCAGCAAACCATGTAATGAAAACCATGATTTAGCATAATCTGTAAATCAACCCAAGCACCATGTATTGGAGTATCTGCTACAAGTTAGTTTAAAAAAAAAGAAAAAAAGATTTCATTCTGTCTAGTTTATTCCATAACAACACATACTTCATCAATAATTGAAAAGTCCTTTATCTATTACAATCTTCATTTTACTTTAAAATCATATAAAAGGAAAAGGTTGTTAAATATGTATCAGTAACAGTTATTCAATGCTAGTTAGAGAACCAACCTCTCCCCTTTAAAACTGGGCAATTAAGCAACAAACTCTTTCTTGGGAATGGGCAATACAAAGTGAAATAAAGTATCAATAAATACATACTGAATTTGCTTACATTATGAATATCTAAATCTAAGTATAATGAAAAGGAATTCTACTTTAAACCAAAGATTAAAGCATCAACACTGTACAGAGACAAGCCTTCTCCAAACTCATACCTTCCAGATGTGTTGGGACTACAAGTCCCAGAATGCCTAGCATATCTAGAGGGCTGATTTAATGATTACTTCATTTCTTCATCCTATGCTTTTTTTTTTTTTCAAATTGGCCTCACAAGCATAAAAAGCTCTTAACCAAAATAGAAAACTCACAGTCTCTCTATCTTAAGAAATAAATTATTAGAGTTATTTCCTAAGAAATGTCTTGCTTGGGAATGCAAGGCAAAAGAATCACGAACACCCAAAAAAGAGAACTCAGTTTCTTGATTATTAATACCGTGGCCAATGAGACCAGCCTTCCCATAATCAACCAGAAAAAAAATCCATAATTTACTACTCACCCATTGCAATACTGTATATTCACAGGTGCCTTCCAGTAATTTTGAAAAAGAATGGATATAGAAAATTTCCTATATTCACCTACAGAAAACATACTAGTAACAAATTAATATGATAAATATTAAAAGCTACTAAGTGCTAGTATAAAGAAAGCTACAGTACAGTATATAGTTTATTATATTTTTGGTAACTGTGTCAAAAATGCACTGCTTTAGTGCTGTACTTTCAGTGTATTTCTGGAGTGGTCTGTACAACTTTGCTAAGCTTTTGTTTTGTGGAACCGCCTCGAAGCAGTTGTTTCACATGCTAGAAAACAATGACATAACTGAAATCAACATTTAATTTCACAGCAGAATATTCTCCATGCACTCTTTTAGGTATATCTCTTGACCATCACAATCATTCACTGGTAGTCTGTGCACAAAGTCAAACAGCTGAGGAAGCCAAAAACACACCCTAAACAAGATTCCCTTGTTAAACTTTAAACAAACATTGTTAATGGCAATCTGAGATAGGAAACTGACTAGACAGATATCTTTGTACTTGCTTAAACTGCTATTTTTAAAACACTGATTCAGTATTTAGCCACAATAATTTGACTCAATTGCTACCAACAACTCGATCATCTCTGAACTAAATACAGTATATACAGTACAAGAAAGCCTGACTTTTAAACCAACCATTTTTTTCATAGCCACCAGCAAAAAGCAGCCAAAGATTGATAGAAGCAGGTGACTTATCAGAAGTATTCACAGACATTCTTCTCTGGATGAGCTCACGGCTGCCAAAAAACCCCTTCATCTGAAAAACTCCAGTGCTAGTTTGCGCCTATGCAGCTTGTTGCTGACCAGTGGAACAAAGAAAACCTTCTGTTTCCAGATAATGATATGCAGCAAAAATGACATGGCTGAAGTATACCAGGATGATACAATGAGGCTAGATGGAAATTCTTGTAATGGAAGAGAGCGGTGGAATTTGTAGCCTTTTATCAACATGAGCAGTTGGATGTCTCAGTCTGTGAGACCATCACTGGCCTAGCGTCCAAATGGATGTTGTGTGAAGAGCCATTCTCCCCTTGAAGTTGTAAGGTATTCCTAGCCATCAGTTCCTTAGCCATCAAGATAAAGACCTCGTCAATATTTTGGGCCTCCTTGGCAGATGTCTCCAATACAGCCAGAAGACTGTGTTTCTCTGCCAATGTGCAAGCATCTTCAAACAGGACTTGCCGTTTCTCTGTTTCATCTGATTTGTTCCCTTTAAATTGGATTAAAACCATTTTTAGATTTCCAGTGGACAGTTGGGGCAAATAAAGGGAGCAGGGAAAAGACTATGAAGCAAACCAAGAAGCATATCATTCTTATGACATCTCCTTCCTCCTCTCTCCACAATGGTCCCACTCCAATAACACTCACGCTTTCCATTCTGATGGTCAGCAGCCTGGCAGCTCTAAGAGCATTATTCTAAGGATCATAGGCAGTACAAACCTTGATGACATCACATGTGTCATAACACTGCATGAATGATACAAATTTCATAATGAGTTGTGTGTGTTCACATTGTTTGCATGATCATAGCATGACACATATCATGTCACTTAAACCTCCCATTCCCACAGGTATCCATGCTGAGGAGTTCTCAATGCCACAAACTCTGAACAGCCATGGCAATTGCCTGCCTTGTGCTGAGGACCACTTCAGAGCCAACAAAATGGGTGGTCACATAAGGCAATAAGATACTTTAGAGAGCTGTACATTTTTTAAATGCAATAGACTGCTCTAGAGGGTAGCTGGGAGTATAGAGGGTAGAGATTTGGTCCCAGTTCACTAGCCATCTCAACTGACCAATCAGAACAGCTGCTTATTCTGTGAAATGGAGGGCCAGCCCTGTGCATTTTGTACAGCAACATTTGGTCCCTTAATTATCTAGCCACAAAACAGGTATACAATGCAATGGAGGAAGTTTTCTTCACTTGCCTGAAGATTTCTATTTTCAGATTAACAATATTTTACTACTTTTATTTTCCCGTCCTGATTCAACCACCAAACTGACTTCATTCTACCTAAAATTAGGGCTGCCCCTGGGCAATTCATACTATAATTGTTGGTCATTTAATTAACTAGCCTAGGACATTCATACTTTACCACAAAAGATATTATTTTGTTTTCAATTGTCTTGATTAAACAACTGGCTCATTATAATTCTTAATATTTTGACAATATTACATCAACTTGATTTTAGCATTTTACTTAGAATTCATTACCATTTAGTTGAGAGGATTCATGTGCTAATAAGGTAAACTTAGAACTGCATCTCTAACACACTAAATCAATAACTGGGAAATAAATTTTCTCTTAAGATGCTTATACAAGTTCTTCCATATTTCTTGTGCATCTTTTCAGTAAAATAAATACTATTTTCCCCCTTTGGTTTTAAAAATAAGTCTCAAACTTTCTAACTAAAAGGAGTAAAGATGGGACAGTTGTTGAATTCAGAACTTACCAATCAACATTAAGACCAAGTTTGCTGCGCCAAATTTTTCAATTTCATAAATCCAATGAGGAATAGACTCAAATGTAGATCTTCTGGTTATATCATAGGCAAGAATAGCACCATGGGCACTGCGATAATAACTTTGAGTTATTGTGCGGAAGCGTTCTTGGCCTGCTGTATCCCACACTTGTATCTTAAATTGGGAGGAAATAAAATAGAGGCAGAATCAGAACTGGTCTTTCAAAACACTTAAATGTTAGAAATTGTTGCTCAGCCATAGGTCCTCTACCTCAGCCTTCTGTAACTATTTTTACAGTGAAATCTCTGACCCAGCTATTCTCAGGCCAGTGGCATATAAATGTGTATTCAAGGCTTTTTCTGACTTGTATGCTCCAGGTGTTTGGGAATGACCAAGGCCACACTTCTTGGATTCTGAGAGTTAATCATATCTCGAGATCACCAGGGCAAACCTGGGGCATAAGATGGAAGCCTGAAAAAATCCAGTTGGTCAGTCAGAATTTGCTTATTTCAAATGGTCAGGCAATGCTTGCTTGCTTGCTTGATTTATTATGCCACTCATAGCGGGTGACTCTGGGCGGCTCCCCTTCTGGCTGTGCTCCGCTCCCGTGACGGACGGTTCTCCGCACTGGGCCACATGGCCCGGCTATCTGAGGCCCACCAAGTCTCCTCAGCACTTTAAGTCCTAGATTCTCACTGAGCAACTACCACCTAAAAAGAAAGGCTAATATTCTCTTTTATTTCATGTTAAAGTTGACCAAAATGGGCCGTTAAGCCCTGTGAAAGGGATTAATGTGTGCTATGGTGCTTAGGGGTATTTTACAGTTAACCCCTGGCTAATACGGTGGGGTCCTCAAAACCTTCTGCTGATGAGGTAATAGTCCACATGAAGAAAAAGATTGGGAACTACTGCTGTAAAGCTTTAGTTCATTAACTTATTAAGACTTGTTGGCATTTTTCTGTTAAAATACTTTTCTTTTCTAACCTAGAATGCCTTATTCTTGATCCAAAAATCAGACTTCTGTGGATATAATGATGAAACTGTAGATGATTATAACACACTTCTGGGCTAGCTGCATGAGCCTTTTCACACAGATAAAAACTGATCTCTACTTGAGGTTACTTATTGTGACATACAACTACTTATATATAAATAGAATTACATCACAATAATTAAATTATTATTTAATTAATAATTAAATAATGCAAAATTAAATTAATGAAGTTGTCATGCTACATCCTCAGGAAGCTGTAGATCAGCCTCACCCAGCCTGGTGTTCTCCAGAGGCATTGGAAAAGCAACTCCCAGAACTTACAATACTCAGATTTGCATTAAGAAAGACACATACAACTTAGGGCCAAACCAGACATTAGATTAATGGCATGAATGCTATGTAAGTTGCCAGCACATACATAATGATTTAAGGACTATTTAATGTTTTCTCTTTCTCCTACATTTTCTTAAAAAATAATGTTTTGAAAGATGTGCTCTGCATTTCTAGTGAAGCATCCCCTAACACTCCAATCCTCATTAATAGGCACAGTGAGGCACCTGTAATATTAACCTATGTGTACGAACGCAAAGGTGCCATGCAATAGGTTGCTTGCCATGTTTCATAAGACTGCCAGGTTAAATCTTTATACAGTGTCAGAAAACTTTTTAAATGCACCTTTCAGGGAAAAAATCCTCTTATCTTTTGGATTGCAAGAAAAGAATAAATTATAGACTGAATAAATAACTACAGGTAGTCCTTGTTTAGTGACTGCCTTGTTTAGTGGCCATTCACAGTTATTATGGAAAAGTAACTTTGTGACTGATCCTTGCATTTACCACCTTCACAGATCTGTAAAGGCAAGGAAAGCTGAAGTAGGATCATAAGCACAGTTGCAGTTTCACTTAGCTACCACTTCAGTTAATGACTGAATTGCTGGTCCCAGTGGTGGTTGCTAAATGAGGACTAGCTATATACAAATTCAGTAGCAAAATAGATTGTCAGAGCTGAACGAGAGTAAAAGGTGAAACGTGGGTAAGATATACAGTATGTGTGAATTGGGACAGATCTTGGGGGGGGGGGGGTTTAGCCTATGATCTCTTCCACATTTGGGGAAGACGCCAATCTGGCACTGGTACTCCCTCCTGTATTTCCACAGTGGTGTGCGGCTTCTATAGGAATTCAGAAGCTGAGCTAATTGATTATCATCTCAACTCTTGCTCCAGAAGAGATGCTACAAAATTGTTTTTACTGGGCCTTCTCTGGATCTGGAAAACAAGTAGCTTCCTATTGCCTGGAACTCCTGCCTTGTATGATTTCCCAACTCCTGGGATTTTCTCCATCCCATTTGCAGTCAGGACATGATGAAGCCATGGCTTATTCCCTTCCCAGTGTTTAGGAATGCTTGGACAGATGGCTTTGGTACTTTCCCTGCACAGTCATTGAGGTTATAAGGATAAGGGTGAGGCATTGGCTGGAATTCCAGTTTTTCCTTTCCTCCACTGCCCACTTAGACTGTCTTCTTTCCTTTCTCATCGCCCAAAGCCCAGTGAGCAGCTATAAGGACATTCATACAGTGGCAGGAAAGTGCAGGAAAGATGAGAGGTATGAGGCTGATGGCTGTGTGGAAAAGCCCTATCAATTATCAAAAGACACAGTAGAGGACTATACTGCTCACCTTCACCTTCTTGCCATCAATTTCCAGGGAACGCACTGTAAAATCAACCCCAATAGTGTTCTGCTGCTTTGCATGGTATTGTCCTGACTTGAAGCGATGGACCACACATGTCTTCCCCACATTTGAGTCTCCAATTAGAATGATCTTGAACAAGTAGTCAAAGGCATCATCCATTTCTACACTGGTGAAAGCCATAATCTTCTAGAGATTTGAGCACTTTGAGCCTGGATTAACAGGGGGAAGAATGAATGCAAACAATAAGCCAACATAAAGAGTAAAAGCTAATTAAATTATCAGTCACTTACATGGTTTTGAATAATCTGGAACTACCCACAAGTGACGCTCTTCTGATTTATCAGGTTTAGTGCTTTTGTAAAGCAGATAGACTTCTTAGCTATTACAGGTGGTCCTTGTTTAAGGACCACTCATTCAGTGGCCGTTTAAACTTGCAACAGTGCTGATCAAGCGGTAGTTACAACTGGTCCTTGAACTTCCAGCCAGTGCAATGCCCCTGCAGTTACTGATTGTGATCCAGGCGGTCAGAACCAGGCCAGATTTCCACTGTCACAGTGTCCCTCAGTCACATGACCACAATTTGCTACCTTCCCTGCCAGTTTCCCACAAGCAAAATCAATAGGGAAGCCGGCAGGAAGTTGGAAGTCACAATCAGATGAGGTCCTTGCTTAGCGACCCACACAGTCCTCGCTTAATGATGGTAACCGGGGACTGCTGGAACTGCTATTGCTAAGTGGCAGTCACATGATGTCACAATTTACCACCGCATCGCTTAGCAAATTATGGTCCCAATTACCATCATTTACCAAGGACTATCTGTATTCTCAAAGTCAATAGAAAATGTCACTACACTAGAAGCACCTGTAGCAAAAATGGGGAAGACGAGGTTTGCCAGAAGGTTTCCACCGTTCTTCCAGTATGTCTGCTTTTCTAGCTGCAAAATTGTGTGGCAGTTTCACTCTCTCTTGCTGAATTCCACTTTCTTTAGAAAGAGGCCCTACAGGCTAACTGCAGTGGTATCTTGAAGAAGCTGAGCCTTTTAGCCTACTGCTGAAACAAATGCTTGCAAAATCTAAAGTTTACTAAGATTTAACCTTTTCTTAAATAGGAACCTTTAAATTAGATTACAGTATTTCCCATTTAAGGTACATGAAGTAACACTTCTTCTTTTTCATCCTAGTGTTTTCCCGCAGGTGCAGGACCCACTTTTTGGATCAACGAACGCCATTTCACACAATTGAATGCAGCAAGTGGATCCCACTGTATAATTGTCATATCCCCATTGATTGTGTCCTGCCAACTTTGCTTAGGTCTTCTGCGTGGGTGTTTGCCATCAGTGTTAAAGTAGTAGATGTGCAGGCGACAGTGTGGGGTACTGCTCATAAAACATGGCCATACCACTGTAGGAATTTTTCCCACATTCTGTTATTGGTGCAATGCCAATTGTTAAGAGTTCTTAACAAAGTAAAAACAGCAGAACCAAAGGACTAATCTGCACAGGGTACTTAGGAGTGGTAACACATGAGCCTCCAGAAGTTACCAAAATACAACTCTTAACAGCTTTGACCAGGAAGAGCAGTAGTGAAAGACGCTGGGAGTTATAGTTCATAATCTGGAGGGATACATATCCCCCCCCACCCCCGGCCTTAGTTCCTTTCCCCATTTGCATCTAATCACAACCTCCACAACTTTTTTTCCCTGTGTTACCTTCATGACATTGCTTTCAGCTGTCCATAGCTGTACCAGTAAAAGTAATATTTCTCCAGATATTGCTGAAGGATACCCTTGAGGTATATAACATTTGTTAGGTTTTGCCACTCACTAACTTGAAGACAAGTCAGGTGATTAAATTTTTTTGAGAAAGATGCTCAGAACCTGGAGCGTGACTGCAAGATAATGAAATGTTTAAAAGAGCCTAATGTTGCTGTTACTGTTGTTGTTGTTAGGGGCCAATATAATTAACCAGTCGCAAAAGTTGTCCCAAAGATTCTTATATTATCTATTTGGCAACGAAATATTTATTACAGAGAATATAAGTACTTCACCACGAGATGACTCTGGCTTTCTCTTCTACAGAAGAGAAAAGTGGTATAGTAGACTGCAGAACCATAGTTGCTCTCCTGTAGTTTTCTAAAGGAAACAGACCCTGGTCTGCATTATAGGGAACCATAAAAACTTAAATGGGAAGGGAAGGAGTAATTCTACTGACTGATCCTGGAAGACTGAACAAAATCAAAGTGACAGAGTGCCTCCAAAAGAGATATTGTGTAACCATTCCACCTCCTTCTCAGATTTTTAGAAAGCTGAGATATTATTCAATTCTTATATCTGTAACCAACCTATGATTTTGCACTAGTGCTTTCCTTTCCCCTTCTCTGTCTATAAAATCTCTAAAGCAGAAGCATCGGAATAGATGCTATTCCTTAAGGTTTCCTGTAGCACAGTGGGCACTCTGTCTAAAATCACTTATATACAGCCAGATCCAGGTAACCATCTAGCAATGCTACTTGGGGCCAACTAATACCGTAGCCCTGCCTAAAATATATTACAAGAGTCTCGTCTGCAGACTATGGGCAGCTATTGTGAGGAGTATAGATACATCCACTTCAACATGCAGTAGAAGAACTGTAATCCAGTTTCAGTCAGATGTCACACCACTAGTTCACTAGTGGCAGACCTTTTCAACTGATGGCCACAGTGGGCAACTTGAGAGCATGTTCTATGCCCTTTCAAAAAATGGCAGCCAAAGGAGGCTTATACAATCACAACATTGTAGTGGCATGGTCAGAAAAAAACCAAAACACATGGACTACAAAGCACATGGGTAAAGTTGCTCCCTGTCACATTCTCTGTCCCCTAGTTTCTCTATCCTCTTAGCTTATGCTTGAGTCTGCCTTGGCACACAGTGAAATAAAAGTATTAGACCGCTGTGACTCATCATTTTTACTTGTTGAATATGGGATATTCTTAGAAAGGTATTCTGAGAAAAAAACAATCATGCTACAGTTTGGTGGGCACCAAAGTTGGTTGTGGGTTTTAGGCTGTCTATCCCTGAGTCTTAGTCAGTGGCTGAAAATCACCAGCCTCAGGCACTACAAGTCCTCAGGATCATTGGAAAAAGGTAAGCAGTTGCATGAGAAAGAAGAGACGAGAGAAACAAAACCTTAAAATATGTGTAGCATGATCTACAGGCCTTCAATTTTAGGAGGGGATTGTACAAAGGGAAGGAGGCTAGAATCCAGTGAGTAAGGATATATGGTGCTTTGAAGCATGTGGGGGTATAAAAGTAGCACCTCCCTGCAAGTCTTTTAAGCAGTTTCTCAGGATCACATGTCTGAAGTGCTACACGGCTCTAGCATTTAGAGAGTTTTAAATTCAATTGATAACACCCCAACTTTAAAAAATAAAAATGAAAGCCCCAGGAAAGACTCGTACAAGACCTTGGAGCACCTATCAGTCAACTGGATCAAGGCAGGGAGAGGCTAGCTGGAGAAAGACGAAGAGTACAAAGGTAGACTGTGGCTAGATGCCTTGATAAGAGCAGAAGCTGCTTAGAAGAATACTGAGAAACCACAAGTGGCTAAAGTTGGGGCAAGGGTTACAAATCAGAGATTGAGAGTTTCACAAAGATGACTACCTTTCCTCTCATCATTTGAGCTCTGAATGTAAGAGTAGATTGTCTGTACCCAAGCTTTTGATGGTGATGTAGTAGGCAATTTAACTATTCAACCATCGGACACAATTTTATACTCAGCTCCAACTGCTTGACCTTGAGCTTCTAGAAATTTTTAAAAAGAGATATTCATCTTCCCATGCCGACATAAATAGAACATTAGGCCCAATAAAAAGCAAACCACGCTGGCCTCTGAATAATAACAAGAACATTTACTGCATTGCTGTAGTACCTATCTAAATAGATATTTTATTCAGCCAGAAAGTTTTGGAGAATAAATACTAGCTATTCCATACTTCAGTAAAATCTTTTCACACGCAAAAGGCAGCTGGTTAAAAGGGCACAAAGGTAAATCACTACTAAGGGCAAAGAAAGAGAATAGATTTTCACTTCTTTCCTTCCTTCCTGCACCTTCCCTTTGTAGGTTTGTCACATCTGATATTTATATTTACAGACTTCAGTCTCCAGCCAACCAAAAACAAACACAGAAGACTGTTTTCCGTTATCAACAAATCTTAAACATCGAAGCTATCCTTACTTCCTTTTTCTATCCTCCCTGGTTTCAGCTGTTTCCACACAATTTTCCCTCACAAAACCCAACCAAGATCAACAACATAGTGAAACTTTAAATACCCAACATAGGTTATATCCTCAAGTACCAGAATCCTCGCTTCCTTAAGCGCCAATTCCATTCACCTCTTATTCACCCTTTTGTCTTACCTGCATGGACAGGTATAGCTTTCTTTACATTCTCCTCCCACCTTTTCTAGTTTTCTTACGGCCTGATGGGAAATGTAGTTCCACAAATTCAGTGTCTTTCCGTCTCCTGCTGGTGAAATGAACCTGATCCAACTCAAACCCTGATGTTATTTTTTAAAAAGAAATACCACATATAAAAGATACCTTGCCAGATTAGAAGTTTAATGAAAAAAAAAAATCACTTCCTCATTTAACCTTCAGTATTTCTACAAAGGAAGTATTGCATTATTTGTGTGCTTATTATGTGTATGACCACATGTGACACAAGGCAGAAAATACAAGCTATGTCCTTACCTAAGAGTAAGTCCTGTTGAACGTGTGGGTTTTCTTGTAAGTAAATATACAAAGAACTGCATTACATAAGAGAATAGGACAGCACACCCTTCTGAAAGAGAATTAATGTGGAGGACAAAATTGCTGCTGCATTAATTTAACTGTGGTAGTTTTATACCTGTCTTGTTTTTTAAAAAAGAAGCATGACATTCTTTGTGAGCATTCATATATTATTAAAAATCTAGGTGGAAAAGGAAAAGCAAACTTCAGGTCAAATATCTTAAAAGCAAAAATCTCAACCTCTTCTTTAAATATTCCAGTCCAGTTGTATCCATATTTATTTTATTACTTATTGTAATAAAAAGTCAGAAGGAGTCTGGTAGCATATTTTCCAACTAACACATTTTATTAAAAGGCATAAGCATGAAAATCTGATGAAGTGAGCTGCAGTTCATGAAAACTTGTGCCTTTTAATAAAGTGTATTAGTTGGAAAAGGTGCTACCAGACTTCTGATTTTTCTTTTCTTTTTTTTGCTACCATAGAGTATCAAGCTGTCCTACAAGCAGATCTACCTGTAAGATCACAAAGCCTTACGCTGATAGATACTGCCTGCAAGGTAAGGCTAGTACACTAGCATAAAGATACATATAGTAGTAAATAATATATAATGTTATAAATTTAAGAACTTTAAGAAACACTGAACTAATTTCTGCAAACCACTCTGTATTTTTTTTTCCTTTCATACAAAAGTAAAGTTCTCCTGGCTTCTGAAAAGAGCCAACTATCAAATAAATCATTTTATTCTAGTGGCTCTAAGAAAATCATTGTTCAAACCTTGCAACAAAACCTACTTATCCACTTCCATTTTCTCCACACACTTGAGGGTTTTTCTGTTGTCATTATTTTGTGCATTCAGGATGTGGGCCTACAGCTATCCCATTTGAAATATCCTGGTGCTCTAATCCTCTAAGTCAGTGTTGTCCAAACTTGGCCACTTTAAGACGAGTGGCTCATTTTTTAAACATGAG